ACCTCCACCTCCTCCAGATCCTGGGCCTTACCTGGATGACCCATTAGCAATCCCTGGCCCCAGCAGGCTCTCACTGCCATGCCCAGAGCAGCCAGTGAGCAGTCAGGCCCAGGCGGTCCCAACAGTAAGCCAGGGAAATGATTTCCCTTCAACATCCAGTACACAGATGTTAGCGCACCCAGTTGAGGTTCTAGACAGTAGTCTACCACTTCTGCATATCTCCTCAGAGTTGCCAGTTTGCAGTTCAGCACCAGATAATAACCAGTTACAAGATGCAGGAAGATCTGATGGTCTAGAGCCCCTTGTCACCATAGCTAGTAGTGCATCAAACAGTCTGAACAGTGATGACTTGGCAGGCAGCTCAGGCAACCAGGCTTTGAGTCAGCTGAACCAATCTTATGTCCTGGAGCTGAATGAAGACAGTTCCCTGAACAGTGATGGTGCCCTCAGTTCAGGCTCTCTAGTGGGAAAGGATGACTTACAGAATCAAGGGGTAAATCAAGCTGATTTCAGCAACTTAGACAGCTCTCACCACTCACTAGTCGACCCATCACGTATTAGCGCTAGTTCACTCAGCACATCCCTCAGTCTGACCCTGGCCTCCTCAGAGTTGAATGGGGTCATAGATGCAGCCATGCCTGGCCCCTCCCAACAGCCCTCTCTTTCACAACATATTCTGCCTTCACAACCAGATCAGGTAAGTAAATATATCAGAATTATTGCAAGTTTAGGATTATACAGTGTAAAAAAATCAAAATTTATATATTTTTTTCCACAATATTGTTTAGATCTATAAAAGTGTGATGAAGTGTCTTTATATCTGTATATATATATATTGTGATAAATTTTGGGTGAACATTAGTGTGCCCATCTTTTGCTTTTCAACAATTCTCCAGTTTGTGGTTGGACACATATTGCAGGGACATGGAATTATAACATAATTATATATTATATATTTATTGCCATGATGTGACCATTTAAGATATTGTATTCTACAGGTGTCTCTCCTAGTTGGTAGTGGTGATGACAGTAATGATGGAGCCTTATTAATGATGCTGTCCTCCAATTCCCACTCTCTCCATGATCCCTTAGTTTTAGGTAAGAAAAACAGTTGATATTAGACTAAAATATGATGCATGTCTGCTAGTGGTGAGTAAATAAACATGCTAATATATGCTGTAACAGTTATCATTAATTTTTATTTATTAATCTTTATTTCATAATATAATATATAATATAATATATTTTTTGTTTATAGGAAAGCAGCTGCAGAGAGAAGCTAGTAGCCTTGTATCTCAACTCAGGTCAGAATCTCAGGTATGAAGTTGCTTTCCATATGAAGCACTTGTAGGCATGGCAATACCTTGTGATTCAGTGGAATTAACAGAAAAGAACCCCAAAAAAACAATGAACGATTTCCATATATCAGATCACTAATACTTACTTTTCTCCTCTTAAGTCTCTTCAACCATGCAGTAGTGACAGTGCTGCTAATGACTCTCTACAAGAAGCAAGTGGACAAAGACAGAATGAGGTCAATTCTTCTGTCAGTGATTCAGATGTCCCAAGCTTTATTGGAGCTGATATCTGTGAGTATAGTTGTGTGTCCAAAATAGTGTGGAATTCATGTCGAGTAAATTGCAAATAGAACAACAAAGAGAAGAACAAGAACACTTTTATTTTTATTATTTTTGTGAGTGTGTGTGTGAGTGTGTGTGTGTGTGTGTGTGTGAGTGTGTGTGTGAGTGTGTGTGTGAGTGTGTGTGTGAGTGTGTGTGTGAGTGTGTGTGTGTGTGTGTGTGTGTGTGTGTGTGTGTGTGTGTGTGTGTGTGTGTGTGTGTGTGTGTGTGTGTGTGTGTGTGTGTGTGTGTGTATGTTTTCTTCCCTTTGTTCTTCTACAACCAAAAGGATGGTGTGGCATGGGACAAATTTTGATTTCCTCAATATTTATTGATATTTAGATCCTGGTTTTAATAACAGATAATTGTATGAGAACTACTGTATACATTTAGATATTTTACTTATTTGGTGATTGCTACTCTCAATGTGAATAGTTGTAATTATGATGACAAGTGTTGCATTTGCTGGCAATAGCAGTAGTAATAACATTTTTACTTATGTTATTTTGATTTTGTATTATAGGGTGTGGAGATTGTGAGCAGGCGTATTCCCATGAGTGCCCACAACATCGAATCCAAGCAATCTCAGACAAACCAGTTAGGACAAGAGCTTGGGCTTCTCTTCCTGCGCAACATCTCGTCATTCGTAAAAATGCAGATACAGAAGGTATGCTGATGTTGTTTTGTTTTTTTTTTTGTTTTTTTTTTACAGAACTGAAAAGTATACTGTTGACTAAAAGGGGTAGTATGGTATAGATCTAGAAGATTGTTTTTCTCATTTCTCTCTTGTTCTTATTTTAGCATTCCATCTTCATCATGGATCCTCATTTTCCTCTTCAGAATATGGTGTGTATGTACGCAAGGCCATTCCAAAGCGCACACAGTTCGGCCCTATAGAAGGTGTCTTGAAGGAAGACTCAAATGGGTCAGTGTCTCCGCATGGCCTTATCTACACCATTAAGCAGGGGGATCAGACGCTGCACCTCGACACTTCTGATGAAGGCAAGTTTCAGTCTCCAAAGTTTCCCTCACTTGTTGTTATGCTAATTTGTATGTCAGTGAGTTTACAGGAGTTGTAATGGATATCTGAATATTCAGAATAATAGTGTAACTGCCCTCCTCGACTTGACAGCCACCTCCAACTGGATGCGATTTGTGCGTCAGGCCACCACATACCTAGAGCAGAATTGTGTAGTCATGCAAGTGGACGAGAACCTAGTCTTCCTCACTACCACAGACATTGCCCCACGCACAGAACTCAGAGTAGGGTAAGAGCTCTAATAGTATAGCCACAACAGGAGGATACTTGAGTTGATCAGCTTTTTGTGGTTGTTTCTTGAAAATAACTGAAAAATCCTGATTAGGAGTAGTTCATCGTAATTAGTTGTTTTAGTATTTCGTAATTGAATATGAGTGTATTGTTATATACTATTTTTTTTTTCTTCTTTTTTGTAAATGATAAAGAAGTGTCTCTTAGTATGAATTGACAAATAAATGTTATATATATATATTAACACCTTTTTAAAAATTTCTTCCAGATACTCAAAGCAATATGGTGACAAAAGAGGCCTACACATCCTACAGCCAACAGCAGAGGAGATTAAGAGTAAGGAAGATTTATTTTACACTTTAACGTTATTACCGCGACCAGACCAACAATGCAGCACAAAGACAGCTGACCATTTCTTAACATTGTATTTTCTTATAAGTTTAGATCATTTTATTTTAAGCTATCCCTAGTTCAGATCATTTGTATTAGAAGCTTATTTCTCTTAATCACAAGTCTGATTGTAGTTCAAATAACCAGTATTCACGTTGCTCTTTGGTTTCAGTCCTTGAGTCATTGAGGAAGTCCTGGCCTTGCTACGAATGCGATGAGGCCTTTGAGTCGTCTGCAGAACTACAGCAACACCTGGTGTGTCATGACGAGGTCAGTGATTTTCTTAGATGACATAGAGCTCCAATTTCTATTGTTATGACTTCTGATATTTTTTCTTTTCTTTATCTTGATATTTGCTATTGTTGCTGTTTTGTATTTTATATAAATTAATTTTATCTATTATTGTTATCTACATTTAAAATGAAATTTTATAGACTGATATTATATGTAGATGATTTTTTTTTTTTTTTTTTTTTTTTTTACTAAACTATTATGTAGATTTATGTGTCTGATACTTCATGTCTCCTTGATACATGAGCAGGAGGTTGGTGAAGAAGAGAAGAAGAAACGCAAGAGAATAAAGACGAGGCGACCCAGGAACAATGGAGAGGTGGAGACTGGCATGAAGAGGCTCGCCAAGAAGGTGAAGGTGAGATCCCTGAAGCCTTTCGAGTTGGAAATAATTTACATGTTTCATGAAGTTTTTTTAACATATATGTTTTTTTATGTATATATTTTATTTATATATATATATATCCCCCCCCCCCATTTTTCCATTTTTCCTCTATGTTGCCAGAGAGCATGATGATAGCAGTTCCTGTTTTTCCTTTCTAGTTCATCTTTTTTAATCTTTTGTCTGACCAGGTATCAGGTGAAGGGACATCAGGAGCTGGGACTTCTTCACAAGCAGATGCCAACAGGTAAGTTTCCCCTAAGATTCATCATGATTTATTAATTTTTTAAAATTAATTTATTTAATTTTATTTTATTTGTTTGTTATTTTTTTTAGGGTGTTTGCTTCAATTGGTGGTAGTACTTTGTTTCTTTAGTGTGTGATGGGTTTTATGATTGACATTTATTATTAGTGTATATTTGGCTGAAATGATTTGTCATCGTCTGCTTCTAACTTTTGTATGTTTGATAGAGAATAGAAATGAAGTAATATGAAAGGCAGTATTCATTGACAGATTGTTTTTATTTTCAGCAGACTAGCTATGCCTGCTGTAGAAGGTATACAGCACAGCCAGTGCACCACCTGCAATTTGGTATTTACCATGCCAGAGGTAAGCTCAACTGGGGTCATGACATCCTTCTAGGCTTTTCAGAAATAGTAGAATAATTACCGAATAGTTACTGTTACAATTTGAGAATGAGAGCAAGGAATCTTGTTTCTTTCTAGGTTCTAATTGTTGATTTTCTTTTTCTTTTCCTCCTCTTGCAATGCAGCTGCTGAAAATCCACCAGCACACGCATGAAGGGGCACAGGTGCAGGAGGGCAATGATGTCTTGGTGAAAATGAAGCTGAAGGAGAAGGCATGTCCTCAGTGCTTCAAGGTTTGTAATAAAGAGGCTTTTCAAAAGTTCTTCAAAACCTCAAATAACTTGCTATTTTGTCTATAATCCCAGACAAAATTTTACATTGCTCGTATGTTTTCTTTTACTAGTCATTGTTTAATGGATGTGTTATTTTGTGTTTATTTCTTAGGGAATTATTGTTACAAAGGTCCATATCATTATCTCTTGTCCTGATTGAAAGAAAGAGATTTATGAAAGCTCAGCATAAACTGTGGGGTTGTATTTTTTTCTTATTTTTTAATTTTTCTTTCATACTTGTATTTTTTTTTAATTGTTATTCTTTTTTTTACTTTCAGTTTTTTGAGGCAGCTGAGGAGCTGTTAGCACACATAGGAGGACATGGATTCTTCCTTCCTCTTCAAGCCAAGCCTCATAAGTGTGACTTCTGCTATAAGGTGGGAAATGTTTAACTTTTGCTCTGCACATACAGTAAACACTCATTTTACACTTACACTATTTTATAAATCTTGGTGAAATGCATTAGGGCTTCTGAAGTGCAGCAAAACTAGTGTTATTTAGTCATTACAGGTATACTATAGCACTTCACATTCTGGTGTTCAGCTGCCCTGGATTTATTTATTTAATGTGAATTGTGCCGTTCACAGCACAACAATCCTAGCACCACCATAGTCACAGCCATGTCACAAAACCCTTTGCCTGCTCAAAAGTTCTGAAGCAAGGAGCAATCAGTCATTGCCATAGTCACAGTATATCAATAAGTATTGAAATGTCTTGATTTTTACATAGTATGCATGTGTAGTATTTACTAAAACCATACATACATGTATTTAATATATTGAAGTTGTATACATGGAATCCATAGATTTCAGAAGAAAATAATTCTGTAGAAGCCTTCATTTATTTGTAAAAAAGTATTCAGTCAATAGAAATCATTTAGAAATTTCCTAGCTGTGGAATGAGGAAGTGTTTTATGTCTATATTAAATTTTGTGAGCTATTTGAATCCATTGCATTTTAGTACACGATCACCCCAGATAGTGTATGGATTCTGTTAAAAGATATTTTTATGATAATTTAAACAGTTTGATGGTTTTATAAAGAGCCCTTCATCTGAATACAGCTTTGATTCCAGTCCTTCTTGCGTCGTGAGCGGCTGGAGGCGCACATGGCTGTCCATGGCAATGAGACGGAGAAGCCCTTCCGATGCAGCCTCTGCCTCAGACGCTTCTGTAGCAATACAGCCCTTAATACACACATCAAGTTCCATATTGGTGAGTTGTGCATCATGCTGAGGTATTTAGCTGCTATGTAAAGTTTTGGAACTGGTAAGATATGAGTATGTGTTATGTGCAAAGATATTTTATATGCACTTTTCTCAGTTTTGGTAACTTTCTATTTTCTGTCTTTGACTTAGAGAGGTGCTTTTCACCATATAGTAATATGAGTTCTGTTTCTGAAGATATTGTGTCATTAATTAACTGTGAAAAGTGATTTTTAAGATCAAATGTTTTGACAGTAATTTAAGCTTACATAAAAAAGATCAGTAAGACAGGAAATCTCAATATTCATCTAGCCTTTGGCACTACCGAGACTGACATTGAACAAGCCCAAACAAAAATCCTATCACAGTAGAGCCATCATGTGGGTTCAGAGAGAGAGAGTAGAGGGCAAAGAGCACGGTAGATAAGCGCTCACTTGCCTGCTCAATACTTGGCGAACACGCGTTTGCACTTAGAGTGTGAGGAAAAGATGAGCACTAATGTCCTGACTTCACAGAGGGCAGTAAAGGCTATGACTGCCCGATTTGCAGGGAGGGATTCTTCTCCGTAGCCGGGCTGAAGTCCCATGTATCCTCACACTGTGTCAATGGGGAATACGCTTGCCCGACTTGTAAAAAGGTAAGTGGTTGGTTTGGGATGTGGATGGGTGTAGGTGTAGCATTTTTGTATTACTGATTATGTAGTTTTTTGCATAAATGTGTGTGTGTGTGTGTGTGTGTGTGTGTGTGTGTGTGTGTGTGTGTGTGTGTGTGTGTGTGTGTGTGTGTGTGTGTGTGTGTGTGTGTGTGTGCGAGCGCGTGTGTGTGTGTGTGTCTGCATTTGTGTATTAATGCATATATATACATACATATATATGTATGTGTGTGTGTGTGTATATGTATGTATGTACGTATGTATGTATGTATGTATGTATATGTGTGTATAAATATATAGAGAGAGAGAGTGAGTGAATGTGAGTGTGTGTGTGTGAGCATGTGCACTGCGGGTGTTCTTCCATGTAATGTGTGTGTATGTGTGTGTGTGTGTGTGTGTGTGTGTGCATGCGTTCACGGACGTGTATTGTATGTGTCCATGTTTATATGTATGTATGCTTGCATGCATGTGTATTTAGTTTGTAGTCATATAAGTGTATTTTTCTGTGTAAAGTTTAAGCTTGTTAGGCTCTATTAGGGGCAAAAAGATGTTTTTTCACAAATATATCAAGCTGGTTTGAATGCATTTAAGTTTCATTTGTGCAAGTTTCTTTCCATGATTATGAAAATAAACCAGGATATGGTGACTTTTTCATAGTATACAGTCAGCACCAAAAGTAATGGAATGACAAATTATCAAGTACCCCCTCTTTATACCCATAGAAAACTCCACGTGTATTGGAGTGGCTAATGTTGGGCGAGGGGCTAGAGCTTTGTTACCCAAGTGTACTTATCTCCTGCCAGTGTGCCTGAGACACTGGTAATGAGAGGATGAGTTTTTGTGATTACACTCAACACTTTTCTTTTTCTTCTTTTCTTGTCTACTCGACTTGCCTTCCCTTTTTAAGTGCGTGTGTACAGATGTTCTTTGAGAGTCAGACTCTCAATGGAGAAAATAGCTGCTGTTGTATCCCAGATTACTTTATGGAAAAGTAATAAGCAAGTAATAAGCAAATTTCCACTCTGACCAGAGTTACACTCCAAACAGTCCAGCTCTGGACTAAGAAGATCACAGAAACTGGAGGCATGAATCCACCCCATCACAAATTGTGCTCTGGGACACCCTGTGAAATAATAGGACTCTCAAATTCATATTGCATCAAGTGAAGGCTGAGCCCCATGTGACGGCAAAAAAAATAAAGGAACTGCTGCTGAGGGAGGTGAGGGTTCATAACCTGGAGCTCTGTATACTTCCCAGGTTGGGTCACATCAGGTCCAACTGCCTTGTCCTCGCTCTCTCACCAGCAGGCACTTCTCACAACTCACTGCTCAGACCTGACTGGTTGACACAGACACCTCTCAGCTCTCTGTTTGTTACACAGACCCTTGTACTTAAGCTACAGGGTCTAGAATCGAGATCATCTACCTACAATCCTCCAGCCACACCTGAGCAAGCAGCAGCAGCAGCAGCACAGGACTCCCCAGTCCTTCGCCAACTGGGATGCCTCTCCGGCTCCCCCATAGAAATCCACTTCATCTACAGCACCCAGTCTTAACAGTGGGAACTCACACCCACTACAATTACTCCCTAATGAGACAATGACCAGTTCAAGTGGTAGATTCACCCTATCTACAATAGTATGATTCAATGCAGCATCAAGGATGACTTCTTTTGTGACAAAAACCATTCCTCACCAAGAGAAAAAGACAGAAAAGGGTTATATTTTTTAAAGAAATATTCAAATTAGGACCTGAAGAGAATGGAGCATATATAGTGGACTGACAAGGTGACTAGTGACTGGAAACAGGAGGGAAGATGTGGACAAGCCCAGGCACATAAGCCATGGTCAAACACCCTGATTTAGTGATGTTATGGGATGCCTTTGCATACCATGAGACAGGAAAGCTTGTACTGCCAAGGAACATGAAGCAAGGACTGCTACTTGGAGCTGCTCGCTGAACTTCTTGAGAACTGCTTCAGCTGCTGCAGTCCAACATATTCCAGCAGGACAGCGCAAAGGCCAATAGTGATGCAGGGGAATACCCCAAATTTTACCCCCATCTAGAACATCTAAGGGCTCACGAAGAGGCGCCTTGGGGGAGGGACATCTTGGCCATACCTCAGCTTGTGGATCACCTGCACAACATATTGGGAAACTTTGAGCCCAGTCTCTTTCAGGTTGGTGGAATCTGTCCCAAGATGCATGGCAGGCTGTGTGAAGTGTAAGGGATTTGCCACCAAGTACTACAAGCAGTAGGTACTCCTTCCATATTGCTATTGATGTTGAATGCACCTTGCACCGAGCCATTACTTGTGGTGCTGACTGTACTCACCTAATCTCTTTATATGTATTGATATTTTCTTAAAAGCATACAAGCAGATGCATTCTTACTAGTTTTAGAACAGTAAACAGTACCCAGTAACTATAAAAATCTGATAATGTTTTTGAGATATATGTATCCCCCATAACCTCATAAGTCATATAGATTACTGTCCTTAGTCCTGCTATTTATTGTATTTTCCATTCTGGCAGGTTTTCCCCACGTATAGTAAGATTCGCCGGCACATTCGTTCATACCACGCCATCATGCCTCACACATGTTCCATATGCAGTAAGGAGATGCCATCCGTGGACAAACTCAAGATTCATATGCTTAGGTGAGCTGGTCCCTCTTCTGTCTCTTCCTCCTCCTCCTCTTCCTTCTCTTCCATCTCTTCCTTTGCCTCCTCCTCCTCTTCCTTCTCTTCCATCTCTTCCTCTGCCTCCTCCTCCTCTTCCTCTTCCTTCTCTTCCATCTCTTCCTCTGCCTCCTCCTCCTCTTCCTCTTCCTTCTCTTCCATCTCTTCCTCTGCCTCCTCCTCCTGTTCCCTCTCCCACTCCCACTCCTACTCCCTTTCTGTGTATGTATGTTATTAGCTTCTTAATATAGAAGTATATGTTTCTTTATTTTTATAAATTTATTATTCCCTCATTCTTGCAGTCATTCAGAGCGCCGTGACTTCCTATGTCCAGACTGCGGCAAGAGGTTCAAGCGGAAGGACAAGCTCCGCGAGCACTCCAAGCGCATGCACTCGAATGACCGCGAGGCAAAAACTTCTAAAGCAGTTGCCAAAGGACCCCCCAAGTTTGTCCCAAAGGTATTGTGCGAGAGGTAGAGAGAAAGGGTGAAGGAAGTCAAAGACGGACATTCATGCGAGTCAGAGAGGTCTTTCTTGCCCTATGTCTCTTAGCCTCTTTTTCTTCAGATCACAGGATAAAAAAATGAAATATGAATCATCAGCATTATTTTAACTCTACAATAATGGTGCCAGAAATTTCTTTGTCACTCATTCTATTGACTTCTGGCAACTGTCAAGCCTTTTGGCTGGGGAGTTCACTGTGTTTAGCAGAAGTTCCTGCTCAACATGCTTTAGCAAGTCATAATGCATATAGCAGTACCCATCATGATGAGCTGGTTTTTCGTGACAGCTATAGGCTAGCCTGGCTATAAGAGGCCGACAGGCATGATGTGTACGTACGTGCTATGCCCACTGTGAGTTATTTGTTTGATCGTTTTTACACATAGATGGCTACACTTGTACTATGTCACCAATGAGCCAGTTACAAGTACTGCCTGTCTCGCCCTTTTACCCTTTTCATTGATTTACGAAAATATTTTATGTTATCTTATTTTGCTGTTACTAAAGTTTAAAACATAATAATTATAATGTTTATGATAAAAATAACGCCATCAATATTCATTCATTAATTGACTCCTTTGTGGCTAAGCACTAACAGAGCCATCTATGTGCAGAGACATTTCACAAAAAATATAGAAGATGAGCACAGCATTTTCCCCATTTTTTATTCGTTTTCCCCGGCGGCATTGGGTTAAAGAGGATGCCGTGCCAAAGCCATTAGATTTGAGAGAAAAAGTTCATTTTCATTTCTGTGGGTTACAACATCCATAGAAAAAGGTAGATCTCTTTTGATATCACTCTTGTCTTGTGAAAGTAATGTTTCAGAGTGTTTCAAGTTTTATCAGCATTATCAGTATACACACAGATGAGAAAGTAGTTAATTGACTATGATATATTAAACTCTATTTTTCCCTCTTTCTTTGTTTAGTTTTCTAAGTCTGTGTTTGCCTCTGGCTCCAGACTGCAGAAAGTGCTTGGATTTCATTTTTGAGGATAGAGCTTCATGTGATTTTTTTCCCATGTCTTGTGTAGAATCAGAAAATTCTTTATTAGAATGCCTCAGAATGAAGTGTTAGGAAAAAGATGCTATTGTCTTTTTAATTTTAGTTTCTGTTATTCTCAATAAATTTGCCTTACTTATTGCTTCACAAGAAGATCTCCATCAGAACAGCTTTTGCAAACCTTTTTTAGGAAAAAAATTATTTTATGCATGGAACACTCCATTTTGGGGTTTATATGGTGCCTCTTCAAGACTGGTGCTTTATTTTCAACATGAGGCCTCTACTGTTACTTCCATAAACTTAAAATATATATGATTTTAGTAAGTCTCCAGACCTATTTTCTTAGTTGCAGTACAACAGTAGTTAATCTTATCTATATGAAGTGTCTAAGAAGAAGAATTGCTTCTCCTTTTCCTGCCATAGGTTGATCCTGCTGATTACAAACAGTTTTTGTACAAGTGCCACACCTGCCTCTTGGGGTTCAAACGGCGTGGCATGCTTGTTAACCACCTGGCCAAGCGTCACCCAAACATTGACCCGTCAACAGTACCTGAGCTAAACCAACCCATCCTCAAGGCAAAGAGATGTTACAGCTGCCAGCATTGTGATAAGGTAATCTAGGATTAAGCATTAGGTGGATATTTGAGGTTTGTTTATATGCTATATTGTAAGTTCAGAATGGTTTGTTTTTGGGTAATATGAGGTGTAGATGGACTTCCACAACTTTTGCAGATGTACCGCAGCAGTAGTAAGAGGAAATTACACATCCTAAAGTACCACCCTGGAGCAGAGCTTCCCCCGCCTTCCACCAATCATAATGAGAATGAGAATGGTGAGGTTCCTGCATATTCCAAGACGTACCCACATCCATGCTTATGGTGCTACCGCCAGTATACAACCCGGGCCCGGCTCCTGCGGCACCAGCGGCACCACCACCCTGACCTCTGCAACCACAAGTCACAGATGAAGGAGTACTCGGCTGAAGCACCTGAGGCAGCAGTGGAAGAAGATGACGCTCAGATGGAGGCTCCAGCAGGCTTGTCAGGGGAACTGACCCTTGGAGGCCAGCTTGTCACTGATGCCAGCATCTTGAGGAACCATCGGTTAGTAAGTTTGACCAGAGGAGAGTCTGAGGAAGCTGGTGTGGAGGTGAAGGAGGATGACCTTCTGACCCAGGCCATGGGGGAGATCACTCCCCTCAGTGGTGGGGAACAATATGTGCGCATAGTAGGCACAGGAGCAGAAGGGCAGCAAGTAGTTGTGGGAACAGCCCAGGGTGGACGGCCTTTGCTGGTGAGTAGCGATGGAGGACAGCAGGGTGCCACCCTGGCTCTGGTCACCACAGATGGCCCAGAGACAGTGACACTCTCTCTCCCTGCAGGACAATTTATCTCCCTTATACCTGGCTTGCCTGTTGCGGGTACTGCCTCAACAGTGACCTCAACCTCACGGACTGTGACTAGTGGCAGCAGTTCAGTCAACATACACACTGTTGAGGGACAGGATGGGGCAGGCACCAGTGGAGACCTGCAAGGGGAGGGTGTCCCAGCTGCCATCAGGATGGCCCAGGGCTTTGGGCAGGCAATAAGTGGGAGTGAGGCTGAGGGTGTTGAGCAGGTGGTGCTGGAGACCCACCCTCCCTCATCTCCCTCAGCATCTGTTGTGTGGCCTCAGGCTCTGACCTTTGCCAGCACCCCAAACTAACACCTCTTATCTATCAAGATGATGTTCCAAACTAGCTGTAACACAGATTGGTTGAGAGTTATCAATGCATGAAAGGATTTAAACATCTTGATCAGAGGTATTCAACAGTATCATGCAAATACCAGGGTATTCCTCTGGATAGCTGGGGTCATTGACCTGGTTTTGGGTAGGGTTTTTGCAGTGCTTTTGAGATCCATTTAGGCTTAAGGTAATCCATGGAGTATGGGATGTTTTATATTAGCTGCAAAGGTAAATATGGTAAAAATATTATTTATTAACTTCTTAGAACTATCTTTGAACAAATTTCAAATCTTCCACAAGGAGCAATATATATTCATTTGTGAGTCGTATAATAGAGACCAATCTCTGTTACTGCTTTTAATTAACTACAACTCTTTCTTGATATTATGTAATGTATTTGAGTTTCCTTACTGGAAAGTATTTGTGATATGTTGTCATGTCCATGCAAGTAACAAACTGCATATCAAGGTAAGCATCAAAAGTGCATCAAAAATTAGATGTTCTTGAAGAATTGCCAGGCATATCATCCAAGGCCTTAGGTGTAGTTGCTAAGGTGTTCATGACATTGTTGTTATGTTTTATATGTACAATTTCTTTTTTTTCTAATTAAATGTTGCTGTGCCTCTGTTGATGTGAGAGAGTAAGTTATTCTTTTGGGGAGGATCTCCTTTCGTGATGATAATTTCTGTAACTATATGTATATACAACAGTGTATATATACAGTATGAGGTGACCATGCCCAAATAGTACATTCATGTACTAATGAAACTTATGTGATTCAAATTTTGTTTAGGACACCACCTTCCATTTTGTAGCCAAAAGAAAATGTATATTGTTGGAAGCAAAGTGAATTTATAACGATGTGACCTGAACTCTCCCACCTTTTCTTTTTCTTCATATTTAGCCCTGGTCACAAGTGTCAGATCAACACACATTGTGTATAAAGTAAAGTATCAGTATTGCCTTTCAAGAAGCTGCTGCAGGAAACCATGGCATGTATCCTTTTACATAATCTTATACTTTTGGTAAATCAGGAAGTTTTTCTCATAAGTGTAATCAGCCTACAATAAAACAATATTACTTATACAGTGATAGCTCTTTGCTAAATGGTTAAGAAAGTTAACACTTACTACCATTGCTCTGCCTGGGGTTCTCAGGATTGCCTTATTAGGGTATTAATTCCTATCTGCTTACATTTGAGGAATTAGGCTTTTGAGGTTGTGAAGGGTGGATAAAAAAATAACTTGTTTTGTTTTTCATTTTGCTTCTATTCATTTTTCTTAAAAACATTCAGTACATTGATACATTCAGTTGTCATCATGTTTTGTGGTAGGTTTAAGGATAGAACTGACCTGAACATAAGTGTACTTTATTTTTTTAAATTGTGAAATTTGCTTGTGTTACAGGCCAATATTATTGAGAGTGTTATATATGATTGGTGAACTACATTCAGATGTAGTTCATCATATATATTAGAATATAATTTACAATAACTTATTATTTATATTAACTTTACTTTGACTTGTGATCCATATGCAAATGTCCTCAAAATAGGGGTAGAATTGTAATACTTCAAGGGAAAGGAATGACATTTGTTTTGCAGTGGTTCACATCGACAACAGTAAGCTTTTGCATAGGTGGCACAAATGTTAAACTCATATTATATTTTGCTCAAATTGCAGCACAAAGGGACTCTGTAGGTTGGGTAGGAACATCAGGGAGTTGGGTTTAGGTTTCTGAAATAATGTTAGATGTGGTTCAAGACACACACAGGGCCCTGGCCTCATACAGCCATTCTGGGTAATGACACTGAAGGCAGTCACACAACTTGTCTGTATGGTTAGTTGATTCTGTGCCTTGGCTAGAAGAAAATTAGCTCTTTAAAAAAAGAAAAAAGTTTGAACTTATTTTATCAAATTGATTATATTATACCTTGCACAAAGAAATTCAGGCCTAAGGTAGGTGCTCTTTCTGGACTTTGGACATGGAATTGTCACCCTTTATGTCTGCGTGTCAAACATTGGCTTAAGGGTGTGAACATTAACCCCTTGGTGCCGGGTGACGCCGATCGGCGTGAAAACAAACTGCTCGAAAGCTGGTGTGCAGCCATACGCGGCGGCGGCGAGCCAGTGATTCAGGCTGATGTCCGCTACTCACGCACTCAAAGTCAGCGTGCCGCCTTTGTTTGCTAGAGCGCAGAGTTTTTTTTTGTTTTTGTTTTGTACACCCAGCATCATTAGGTTAAAATCCAGTGTCATGCTCAGATTTGCTTTATCTTTTCCTCTTGGCATTCCTTATTTTCCTTTGTCCATACTCTGTAGGTGCCATGGGTACACTGATCAGCCACTGTGTTCTTTTAAGTACATTCCATCTTGGTGCTCTAAACATGATTCCTCTTAGTGTTGGAAGTAGTTGTGGGGTGTCTATATTATCCTGCCTTCTGCCTGTCATCAGTTATATTGAGTACAGTGCATCGCAAAAGACAGCATTCCTCTTTTTATGATGAGACGTCTAAGTTTTCAATGTCCCGAACAGTAGTGTAAACATAAGATAAAAGAACTAGTCAGAAAGAGAGGTCATTCAAGAAGTGACCTGATTTTTTAAGCAATGATTAGGACCCAGAATATGGACTTATTACTATCCTATATTGAATGCTGCAGCATCTTGCCTGTGGAGAATCACCTCTTGCATTTTCATGAGTTTATTATTATTTTTATTATTATTTTTATTATTATTATTATTATTATTATTATTATTATTATTATTTTCTCTCTTTGTTACTTTTTTGTTTCTTCATTCATTTGCTTATTCTGCAACAAATGAAACTATGGGAAATGGATTTTTAATAACAAATGGAAACTGAAACTGTATTATTTTTGTCTAATGCATGAGCCTTCACTTTTTTTCTTTCTTTTTTTTCTTTTTTCTTTATTTATATATATAATATAGCAGGATATTCCACTTTTGTGTGTCTTGCAAGATGGATTACAAGCTTTTGTTTAATGAGAGTGGGCTTTATAAAATGCAGGAACAAGGCAGTTGACTCTGCTTAGGCTGATGAATTCTGTGATGCTGTTGTCTAATCCTGGAATCATGCTACTGAAGATATGCCAGGGATATAATGCTGAGGTTACAGGGTTGCTTGTCTATTAGTAAAGTTTATTGGGAAATATCCGACAAATTATTAAAGTGTATTACAGTGTAATTCTTAATTTTAGTTATTTATGAACACATTTTCATTTTTTAGAGATGGTAAGGCCTTAGATGCTCAAAGTGGACCCAAGTCCATGTATGAATAGAAGGAATGGAGGATTTGTGATGATAAACACAGGGTTGTTTATGTAATGTTTGAATGTTTTAAGTTCAGGCATGCAAGGATATGGTAAGTTATTGTTTTGTATAAGGTCTGTTCTCTAATCCATTTAAGAATCTAAGAAAAGTTTTTGTATGGGTAAGTGTAATAAGATATATTTAGCACAAATATATGTGCATATATAACATGCACTGAAAGAGGAAACATAAAGATACACAACATGTGAATTCAGAAATGTGCATACATGTGCACACACACTAACACTCAAATACACACTCATTCAACAAGATGTAAATGATACTTAAACATTACACCAAAAGAGTAAGCAATAAAGATACAGACTTTATTTCCCTCTCAGCATGTGCAGAGAGAATGTACACCCAGTACTACTTATTATTTTTATTATTATAGTTATTATTATTATTATTATTATTATTATTATTATTTTCTCTCTTTGTTACTTTTTTGTTTCTTCATTCATTTGCTTATTCTGCAACAAATGAAACTATGGGAAATGGATTTTTAATAACAAATGGAAACTGAAACTGTATTATTTTTGTCTAATGCATGAGCCTTCACTTTTTTTCTTTCTTTTTTTTCTTTTTTTTTTTTTTTCTTTTTTCTTTATTTATATATATAATATAGCAGGATATTCCACTTTTGTGTGTCTTGCAAGATGGATTACAAGCTTTTGTTTAATGAGAGTGGGCTTTATAAAATGCAGGAACAAGGCAGTTGACTCTGCTTAGGCTGATGAATTCTGTGATGCTGTTGTCTAATCCTGGAATCATGCTACTGAAGATATGCCAGGGATATAATGCTGAGGTTACAGGGTTGCTTGTCTATTAGTAAAGTTTATTGGGAAATATCCGACAAATTATTAAAGTGTATTACAGTGTAATTCTTAATTTTAGTTATTTATGAACACATTTTCATTTTTTAGAGATGGTAAGGCCTTAGATGCTCAAAGTGGACCCAAGTCCATGTATGAATAGAAGGAATGGAGGATTTGTGATGATAAACACAGGGTTGTTTATGTAATGTTTGAATGTTTTAAGTTCAGGCATGCAAGGATATGGTAAGTTATTGTTTTGTATAAGGTCTGTTCTCTAATCCATTTAAGAATCTAAGAAAAGTTTTTGTATGGGTAAGTGTAATAAGATATATTTAGCACAAATATATGTGCATATATAACATGCACTGAAAGAGGAAACATAAAGATACACAACATGTGAATTCAGAAATGTGCATACATGTGCACACACACTAACACTCAAATACACACTCATTCAACAAGATGTAAATGATACTTAAACATTACACCAAAAGAGTAAGCAATAAAGATACAGACTTTATTTCCCTCTCAGCATGTGCAGAGAGAATGTACACCCAGTACTACTTATTATTTTTATTATTATTGTTATTATTGTGTTTTTTTCTCTTTTTTCTTTTTTTTTTTTAGAATGTCTTACAAAGTAGCTTCAGAGCCTGAGTTGTCCAAACCTAAAGTGCTCTTGAACTTTGCAGATCTCAGATTATATATATATATTACAGGATAAGTCAGTTACTTGTCTCAGAGAAAGTTAAATGCAATTTTTTTCAGCCTTTTCCTAGGTAGTAATCTATAACAAGAGGTTAGAAAAGTTTCAGTTAATGTTGCATTGTGAAAGAAATATACACAATAAAGGAAAATGAATTATTTGTCATAATGAAAGGGTTGGGTGAGACCATAGTAGAAATTTATCAAATGAAATTTTGTTCAAGGAAAACTGCAAAACTTTTTTTTTTATGAGTACCATAAGCTACAGGTCCTAACTTCATAACTCAAATATGTTTTGTATTGCCAGAGTGATATAATAACATATATATACATATATGTATATATATAATATGTGTATATATAATATATATGTATATTATGTATATATATAATATGTGTATATATAATATATATGTATATTATGTATATATATAATATGTGTATATATAATATATATGTATATTATGTATATATATAATATGTGTATATATAATATATATGTATATTATGTATATATATAATATGTGTATATATAATATATATGTATATTATGTATATATATAATATGTGTATATATAATGTATATGTATGTATATAATATGTGTATATATAATATATATGTATATTATGTATATATATAATATGTGTATATATAATATATATGTATATTATGTATATATATAATATGTGTATATATAATATATATGTATATTATGTATATATATAATATGTGTATATATAATATATATGTATATTATGTATATATATAATATGTGTATATATAATATATATGTATATTATGTATATATATAATATGTGTATATATAATATATATGTATATTATGTATATATATAATATGTGTATATATAATATATATGTATATTATGTATATATATAATATGTGTATATATAATATATATGTATATTATGTATATATATAATATGTGTATATATAATATATATGTATATTATGTATATATATAATATGTGTATATATAATATATATGTATATTATGTATATATATAATATGTGTATATATAATATATATGTATATATATAATATGTGTATATATAATATATATGTATATTATGTATATATATAATATGTGTATATATAATATATATGTATATATATAATATGTGTATATATAATATATATGTATATTATGTATATATATAATATGTGTATATATAATATATATGTATATATATAATATGTGTATATATAATATATATGTATATTATGTATATATATAATATGTGTATATATAATATATATGTATATATATAATATGTGTATATATAATATATATGTATATATATAATATGTGTATATATAATATATATGTATATATATAATATGTGTATATATAATATATATGTATATTATGTATATATATAATATGTGTATATATAATATATATGTATATTATGTATATATATAATATGTGTATATATAATATATATGTATATTATGTATATATATAATATGTGTATATATAATATATATGTATATTATGTATATATATAATATGTGTATATATAATATATATGTATATTATGTATATATATAATATGTGTATATATAATATATATGTATATTATGTATATATATAATATGTGTATATATAATATATATGTATATTATGTATATATATAATATGTGTATATATAATGTATATGTATGTATATAATATGTGTATATATAATATATATGTATATATATAATATGTGTATATATAATATATATGTATATATATAATATGTGTATATATAATATATATGTATATATATAATATGTGTATATATAATATATATGTATATTATGTATATATATAATATGTGTATATATAATATATATGTATATATATATGTATAACATATATATTATATTATACATATATTATATGATATCTATATTTATATATAGTATCTCTCTGTCTCTGCCTCTGTCTCTCTCTCTCTCTCTCTCTCTCTCTCTCTCTCTCTCTCTCTCTCTCTCTCTCTCTCTCTCTCTCTCTCTCTCTCTCTCTCTCTCTCTCTCTCTCTCTCTCTCCACACACACACACACACACACACACACACACACACACACACACACACACACACACACACACACACACACACACACACACACACACACACACACACACACACACACACACACACACACACACACACACACACACACACACACACACACACACACACACACACACACACACACACACACACACACACACACACACACACACACACACACACACAACCACACACACACACACACAACCACACACACACACACACAACCACACACACACACACACAACCACACACACACACACACACACACACACACACCACACACACACACACAACCACACACACACACACAACCACACACACACACACAACCACACACACACACACAACCACACACACACACACAACCACACACACACACACAACCACACACACACACACAACCACACACACACACACAACCACACACACACACAACCACACACACACACACAACCACACACACACACACAACCACACACACACACAACCACACACACACACACAACCACACACACACACACAACCACACACACACACACAACCACACACACACACACAACCACACACACACACACAACCACACACACACACACAACCACACACACACACACACACACACACACAACCACACACACACACACACAACCACACACACACACACACAACCACACACACACACACAACCACACACAACCACACACACACACACACACACACACACACACACACACACACACACACACACACACACACACACACACACACACACACACACACACACACACACACACACACACACAAACATACACACAACCACAACCACACACAACCACATATATGTATGTATATATATATTGTATGTATATATGTACATGCATGTGTATATGTATATAAAAATGCATATATGTATATGTATGTGTATATGCATATATGTGTGTATATGTATATGTTTATGCATTTATGTGTATATATGTATATGTATATATCTGTATGTATGTGTATATATGTATATATAAAATGTCTGGTTATGTTCCATTGGTATTGAATATTGGGGTTAGTGGCCTGTAGATTTCTTTCTTCTTCTTTTTGATAATAAACTTTGTTTACAGCACAGTTTTCATGTGGTCATTTTGTACACATTTACCCAATACCAGTCATTATTGCATTTTTATTGAGAGAACTAGTCAAGACATTAAGATCTCTGTATAATGATGTATTATTTCTGTATAAACTGGATTTTTTGTATATAGCTATCAATGAATTGTGTAAGTTTATTAAAAAAAATGTTGTATAATATTTTGAAATATAATTTTCATTTTCTAGATGTGTATCTTATTTTCATCATCCACTTTGGTACTCGTGATTGTTTTTTTTATTATTATTATCATTATTAATAAAAATCTAATAATATTTAAATGGGCATATTTACTAAAATAATGGGTTGACATGGCAATAGTGCATCACTTAATGGCAAAATTCCCCAGAGTTGTAATTAATTGCAACTACACTTAGCGGACTTATAAATCAATAGATAATCATTATTATTGAAGGGCACTATTCTCATACTCCTGAGTGATTATGATAACATTCATGAAAATGATGACAATAATGATAGTGTAATACTAATGTACTTTATACTTTTGCTATTACAAATAATAAGAAACAATGATATTCTCTGCCTGATGTGCCATCATATCTCACATGCTGCACAATGTCACCCAGACATGTTTCTTGTATTTTGCCTAATTTTATAAAGCTATAGACCTCAAACTATGCCCTTCCTACACAGACATATACCCTGCTTTAGTTGTTACCTTAATTTATTTTCTCTATCTACCAGTCCTTACACTTGTTTGATTAGTGATATAAAATGTCCTTCACATCACTAGCAGAGGCAGTAAAACAAAAGATCTTGTAAATGTAATGATTTATTTCCTTATTTTAAATAAAAAGTAACAGAATCGTGATAGTAGGAACACATCAACTGCTCTTTTATTGATATAAATAAATTGAAAAACATTTCTTTCATAATTAACACACTTTTCAAGCACTATCCACCTCATGTTGTGCAAAAAACTAAAATAGGAGAGACAGAGAAGGATAAAAGACAAAAGAATCCATATTTCCATTGCAATCTCCTATATCATTTACTCTAATACTGAGATCTTTCCTTCTGCATCAAATAAGTCGAACCAATAGGTGCAACTGCAAACGCTTCACAGAGCAAATCAAGACTCCTCCTATAAGCCTGAGGTTTACACAGGATCTGTTGCCATAGAAACTGTATGTGACACAAGATTCAAGGAAAAAAGAAAAAGTATATTAAATAAATATACCTTGTTACTGCCAGGTACCTATATCCCTGAATTATTTTAACAGGATCTAAAGAAATGTCATGTCATCTATTATAAATGACTCAAAATATACAGTTATTACATTAAACTTACTGCTCTCTACCCTGCTCAATCTAATTATCAAATAGGAGACACTTTGTTTGTACATCCAAACATAAAGTATACGAATGGAGTGAAAGTCCAAAACATATACATATTACAGTTGGCTTTCCAGCTTTAAAATCTTGTATATTCAGAATGTTTTCAACTTCCGTGACTTCTGAATCAAACTCACGTCAACAAAATAAATCAGCATATCCAGTCAAAAACAAACTCCCAGCGCAACCAATGTGAGAGTTGCAGTTTTATGTCACTGGGCAAATAATATCATTTGTACTTATAATCCATGTAACTCCCAACTCTTGAAATCCAACATGTATAAATCGAAATGCCCAAAATGTCAAATCAGAAGTTTTAAAACAACATACACTGGCAATCATCCTGAATATCAGTAATAGCACATTAAAAAGCCACAGGGGGTAAGCTCAATCACTTAAAGACACTGGTTTCAGGAACTAAGATGATTAAGAAGAT